TGAGATAGAAGGGGTTTGGGGGTTTATATAGGAAGAGAAAACAACAGCAAAAACCCCAAAAAAAAAGACCAAAAAGCCAACAGAATCGAAAATCAGATTCTGTACAAAATAGTCATTGGAGGCGGGGGGGGGAGCCAGCTTTGAAACTCAAAAAACTTTCATAGACTTGCGCGGTTGACCGTGGCAGTCGGCCGTGGGAATTTTCAGCTCGACGGTCGATCGTGGTGGTCGACCGTGAAAGTTTCTGCAGCCCACTCAGCAAAAGACACAGACGCGGTCGACCGTGGCGGTCGACCGTAAACTGATATATAAAAACTAAAGGTTTGAAAGCAGTTTGCTGATTTTAAAACACTGTTTAAAATATCAAATAAATTTCAAAAATTATGAAACTTTGGGAAATGATTGTAGACATGATAATACACATGTTACAAAAACTAGTTTTTTAAAAGGACTTTCCAAATGAGAAATATCATTATTTTGCAAAATAGTCCAAAACATGAAAATGTAAACATATGAATTTTGACATTTTGGCTAAACCATGCTTTGAAACTTTACAAAATGATTTTATAGACTTGAAGAAAGATGTAAACTATTGTTATGAAGTCTATAAACAATGAATATAGTATTTTATCAAAATACACATATAATGCACTAAAACGTGATTTCATTGAACTAAATAAAATTGATATTGATGAAATCATATATATGCATATAAGTATGAAAAAAAAATGTTTTCTAATTATATTAAATTATTTCATATTAAAACTTGAAAACTATCATACCAAAACATATATGTATATATATAACTATATATATACAAAACCAAAACGTGTATGTGTGTATATGATTGAGCTTAAAGTACTAACACACATAATATAAACTCCTAAACTAAATGTTACCCAAGCTTGATCTTGATCTTCAATAATCTTGACTTGGTACACTTGCGGAAGAAGCTTGAACTTGTATCTTTAACTTGAATGTACATTGCTTCACTCCATTATTCCGCCAACCTCCATTGGATATGATCATTGAAGCTCTATTTCATCCATCCTCTAACTCGTTGTTTGCCTAGAATAAATACAAAAACACAAACACTAGACAAACAACATTAGAAGTAAATTGTTTGTTAAACATCATCAAAACAAGAAGGCGAACAACTTTCAAACTGGTAACGGGTGAAAGTACCCTAGAGGGGGGGGGTGAATAAGATAATTGCCAATCTAATCCGATATCAATGCTAATTTAAAACTATTTAACAATTATCCTAGCAATTTTGATATGCAACAAGTTATGTGCAAGGATATATAATTAAACAAAGGGCGATATAAACATGAACACACAAATAAGAGAGATAGTGCGCAAATTGACAAACATAAACATAAGGCAAATAATCACGGAGTTCGATCGACCCAAGACCTATGTCTCCGCTCCTCACCATAGAGGAGAATTTCCACTATCTCAAAACAACTACACAATCGGTTTTCAACGCTCACTAATAACGTTTACAATCTCACACAATTACAATCACATAATACACTCCTCTAAGTGTTGGCCTACCCCGTGTTACCCACCTCAACTGCTCAGAATTACTACCTCTCTCTAGGATTTACAATTGATGGCACTCCTCTTGGAATTTTACCCACTGTCTCACCAACCACTCCTCTAAGTGTCCTTGTGTATTACAATGTGTTCTCTCAACAATAAAGCACAAATAAATTTGTTTGTTCTCTAATACAAGGATGAGAACTGAGTGAAAGCTCACTCTTAATAACCTAATCATAACCCAAATATACAATGTGTGAAATACTAAAGCTCAGGTGAGTGTGTGTGCAATCAATGAGCAAAAATAAGAATTAAACTTAAATCAATCTAGCATAAGAATATGAGAGTCAAAAATTTATTAATAGACTTGAGGAAAGCTATAAAATAGTGTAATCAAGTCTTTAATCCATAAATATATTATTTTTCCAAAAATATATAATACGATAAAACGAAACGTGTATGTGTGTAGTTGGAGATTTTAAGCATAACACATAAAGTAAACTCCTAAACTATAAATAATATACCCAAGCAAATGATCTTTAATAAGCTGGTCTTGGTAGCAGGGGTGAAGCGATGATGAATCTTACTTCATATTACGACGGCTTCATTCCGATTTCCACCAACCTCCAAGATATCATCGTTTTAGCTCGATTCCATCCAACCTCCAACGGAGGATATTTGTATAGATTACCTAACAAAACAAATACAAACACTCGACACATGATATTAGGAATTGTTTGTTAATCATTAAAATTAAAACTAGATTAGATATAATAGGCTCATAAACATGAGACCTAACAATGAGTTTATGTTACAGGTTTTCGTCTATAATACATAAAATTCAATAGTTTTCAAATAAAACTCATATATCCAAACTTGTTTAGTGTGATTAGGGTTCAGAGATCTACATGTAACATATTTATTATATTTGAGGGGATTCAAACAATCTTAATACGTTCATATCAGTGAAATCATCTTGAAAACCATAAAACTCAACAAAACTCATATTAAGTCACGTTTAGAACTCAAATCCACGTCTGGGAATCTGTTATATATCTTGTTAAATCAAAAAGGTTAGATCTTTTTATTATACTGTTCACAAGAAGTGATCTTTATATTTAAAATATATTTTTAAAATCAATCAAATACTGAAATGAAACTAAAGAAAACAAGGGATGGGTTTGAAAGAGATGAAACTCACCTTAAACGTGCTGGAATCCCAAAGAGTTCAAGAAAACAGATTCTCCCTCACCAAACGCCGACAATCTCGCTCTCTTCTCGGTATTTGTTTCACAAAGATCTTCAAAATTACCAAAATAAATCTAGGGTTTGCTGAGGGGAGAGGGTGGCTGCTAGGGTTCAGAAATATGATGTAAAAGAGAAACTTTTGTGAAATATATCCATATATATGTATAGGCGAACCCGAAACAATTTAAAAAGACCCGAATCCAAATAAGACTGGGAAAGTGGCCCCGTCCGTCGACTGATGACTTGCCATCAGTCGACTGATAAGCTCCTATCGGTCGACTGATTGGCAATTACCAGTCGACTGACCCAAGGCATTTTCCAGCATACAGGTTTTTGCTTGTGTGCATGTTTAACACTAGTATACTTTCATATATACACTTAATTGATCTCAAATCATTTACTAATATATTCATTCATCAATAAATAATAATTATCATAATATAACTTATTCATTACTATTTACCATAGTATTTTCCAAAATTTTGGGGTTTTACATTAACCCCCCAAATGAATTTCATCCTCAAAATTCCGCAATAGTATCTTAGAGATTAATAATACAAGAAAAGCGCGTTGAGGTGATAATCCAGACAAGGAAACCCTTACATACACATATGTTGTATCATTAATCTGTAGATATGAATCACAAACGATATTTATACTTAACAATCTAGAATGCAAATACTCCTACTTAACCCCTAATTAAATAAAACTAGAACGTCGGGCGAAAAATCCAAATAAGGAACCCTCCTTGTATATACCATATGTTCCGAATGATTAGGAGCTAAGTGTTAATATCCCCATTCTAGCGTTAAATATAAATGTGGCTATACTAATAATCATGAACACAAACAAATCATAACTAACATTTACCTGCTCAAACAGTCCTTTCTGGTTCCACTGAACTTTGGAATCACCTTATTTCTAAGTCTCTTGTCCTCTCTATCAAGAATACAAACTGAGATCTCAATAGTGGTCAAATCTGCCTGAATCTCTAACTCTGGTGCATCAATCAACCTATGTTGCTCCTCATCATGTAAATGCTTCATGAGCATTGAAACATGAAAAACATCGTGTATACCCGACATCGATGCTGGAATATCTAGTCGATATGAAATGGCTCCAACACTTCCCACAATCCGGAACAGACCAATATACCTTAGGACAAGCTTTCCACGTCTTCCGAAATACTGAACACCCTTCATAGGTGACACCTTCAACAAAACATAATCTCCAACCTCAGACTCTAAGGTCGTCAACTCTGATTTGCGTAGCTTTTTTGCCAACTCTGAGCCGCAAGAATACGCTTCCGAATTAATGTTACTTTCTCTGTAGTCTGCCTCACAGGTTCTGGCCCAAGTAATAAGTTGTTCTCCTGATCTGCCCAACAAATCGGGGATTTACAAGGCCTCCTATATAATGCTTCGTAAATACCCATGCGTATAGTAGATTGATAACTATTATTGTAGGTAAACTCAATCAATGGAATATGATCCTCCCAGTTGCCCTAGAAATCGATAACACATGCCCGCAACATGTCCTTCAATACTTGGTTGACCCTCTCTGTTTGGCCATCAGTCTGCGAGTGGAAAACACTACTATATGATAGCTGGTGGCCGAAAAAATTCTAAAATCTCTTCCAGAAATTTGAAGTGAAAACTAAGCCTCGATCCGACACAATCGGCTCTAGAACTCCATGCAACCGTACGATCTCCTGGATGAAAATCCTCGCATAAGTCACCGCCGTATAAGTCATCTTAGCTGGCAAGAAGTACGCCGACTTCGTCAACCGATCAACTATCACCCAAATAGAATCATTCCCCTTCCTGGACCTCAGCAATCCTACAATAAAATCCATCAAAATATCTGCCCACTTCCACTCTGGAATGGGCAAAGCTCAGGAGGTCGATCTACAACAATACAAAAACACGGGGTCCATCTGTAATTGGGTGGTAGTACACAAGTTCTATCAGCAATTTACCCTTTCTTAAGTTCCACAATCTTATAGCCAAATCAAAAAAAAAAAAAGTCCTAATTCAATATATAAATGTAGTTGTTGGATGCGATTAGATCATCGTTAGAGTTGTTCTTGCAAGATAAGGACTGCTTGAGGTGCTAGTCCGCATCAGTTAGGAAAGAAACAAGCTAGAAAAGTACACGTAAGCTCTGAACCTCAGGATATTTTCGGTCCAAATTGGAACAAATTGCTTGCATAAGGGCATAGATCACCTTCTACCCATCCCTCTTCACTTTAAGTGAAAGAGGCGCACACACTACACAGTATCCAAGCTCAAATGGCCATCCAAGTACCCCGTAACATTTCTGATACGAAGCCTCACTTTGTACTCATTCCTTTAATGGCACAAGGCCACACGATTCCCATGATCGACATGGCTCAACTCCTCGCAAGCCATGGTGCCGTCGTCACCCTCATCACTACCCCTGCCAACGCTGAGCGCATAAGAGACACAATTGATAAGGTCAAGCGCTCTGGCTTACCTGTCAAGTTTGTATCTCTCAGGTTCCCGTCCACTGAGGTTGGCTTGCCGGAGGGGTTAGAAAACATCGACATGCTCCCTTCCCGCGGCCAACTCAAGAGTTTCATCGATGCAATATGTATGCTTCGTGACCCCGTCATTCTCCACCTTCGAGCCCACAGACCTCACCCTACTTGCGTCATCTCTGATAACATTCACTACTGGGCGCGAGATGTGGCTAGGGAGTTTAACATCCCTAGACTTGTGTTCCATGGGTGTGGATGCTTTCCCCTTCTTTGTGTCCGTCGCGCCAGAACAAAGGAGATTGAGGAGACGATAAAAGATGAGAATGAGCCGTTTGTAGTTCCTGGGTTGCCTCGTCCGGTTATGATAACGAAGGCTCAAGTGGGGAGCTTCTTCAGACTCACGGATGAGCATGCAAAAGGGGTTAGGGAGGCCGAGTTGGTATCTGACGGTGTGATTGTCAACACTTTCGATGATCTAGAGAC